GAGAGAGAGAGAGAGGGAGAGAGAGAGAGAGAGTGGAGGGAAGAACAAACAGACAGACAGACAGACAGACAGACAACTGGGTGTTAGAGACAGATATGAAGAGGGATTTGGGAGTGAGAGAAGGGTTGGGTGTTTGATAGTGAGAGAAGGATACATGTAGTACATTACGAGATGTGGTGAAAATGGTGAAGTGGTATAGGTATAACGCCCTTATTAACGCTTTACGGTTATTTAAGAGGCAGCACCTCCGAGTATAACGTTCATCTCCGACAGGACCGAGCCAAACGGGAAATTCGTATAAACTAGCTTTCCCAAGGACACGATGTCGGATCGAGCAGAAGTTTGAACCCCCGAACCCGCAGTCTCACGGTTACAGGTCCGGTAACCTAACCACTAGACAGACGACTACAAGACGCGAGAGAGAGAGAGAGAGAGAGAGAGAGAGAGAGAGAGAGAGAGAGAGAGAGGGGGGGGGGTGAGAGAAATTCAGTGAGAAGATGGCGGAGTGAGAGAAGGATAGGGACAGGTCGAAAAGAGAGGAAATTATATTGAATAATAGCAGGGAATAAAAGAAAGAAAAGGATTGACAGGACGTGGAGAGAGAAGGACAGTGATAGGATTAAATGTGTGACAAACAGATCTGGAGAGATAGAAGGGAGTGAAAGAAGGACAATGAAAGACAGGAGTAAGTGAGAGAATGACATTGAGAAGATGAAGGGAATGAGGGACAGACAGAGAGAGGGGGGGGGAGTAAAGTAAGGATACGAAGGGTAGTAAAGAGAAAGTGACGATATGGAAAGATAGTATGGGGTATTGGAAGGATAGGGAGAGGTAGTAGGACAATGAGAGAAGGATAGTTAAAGACGGCAGGGAAAGAGAGAATGATAGGGAGAGACAAAACTGCATGAAAGCAGGATAGTGAGAGAAAGGGGAAGTGAGAAAAGGATAGCGAGAAGAAGATGGGAACAGAAGAAGTGTAAAAAAAGACATACAGAAGAGAGAGACGTATACGGAGGGAGGGAGAAAATAACAGTGAAAGACAGGGCAGGAGTGAAAGTATCATAGACAGGTGTTTACAGAGCACAAATAGCGGGTGCTGGGGAAGGGATGCAGCCGGCAAATGTGATGAATGAGTGAAGAGGGCAAAGAGTGCGAAGGAAAACGGATGGATTGATCTCTCGATTGTCTGCTATATTTTCACCTGCTTGTTCGCCGGATTGATCATTTAATGCGCGAAATGACAGCCTCATCGATTGATTTATTGGGGTTTTTTTGTATTCTATCAATCCATTCGTCGATTGATTCTCCAGTGAAAAGAGGGTTAGACGTTTTCTATTTGAACTGTAATTATTGTAATCGTAGATATTTTTAGACTCCAGTCTATAGAATTTAGATTATTTAAGAGATGGGCTTTTTAGACCTTGCGTGTCAGCGCAAACCTGGCTTGAAAAGGGTACAATGTCCCGGCAGACATTGTATTGTCGGGGTCATAATAAAGAAGTTGAGGGGGTTGGTGAGTGAAGGGTGTGGGTTTTGGGACAGAAGGATGAATAGGGGGGG